CGGCAGAAAGCATATATATAATTATAATAAACTTACAATAAATTAAGTTAATATATAATTATATATACAGTAGCTAATTTATATATAATTAATATATAATTATATGTACAGTACCTAATTTATATATAATTTATATATAATACTAAACAGACGATAGCAAACTCAATTTAGCCGCTCCGTAGCGTGGCGCAGGGTCGGAGGAAAGTAGTTCGGCTGCTCATCCACTATTGGTCCAGATTCTATCAATCTTGTCGCGAAACGATGTTATAGGAGGTATTTTATACGAATGTTGCTACAATTTTTTCGCTTCGTTATAGGAATTGTCGTTATAGGAACGCACGTTATAGGGGGGTCGACTGTACAGTAGAGCATCGATTATCCGACTCAATTGGGGACTGGGGTTGGTTAGATAATTGAAAAGTTGGATAATCGAAAAGTATGAAAAAATCCATTATTAGTGTAGTATATTATTATATTCCATGTAATTAGTATATTAGTATATCGCTATTAACCTACTTTACGTTGAATTTTCCTCCATGTTAAGCCTATCAAATTTTTTTTTTAAATAATAATTGTTGCTATTGTATCATTAAAAATTATTTTATTGCTCACAAAACAAACAACCACTCATAATTAGAAAATTAAGCCTTGTTTAAATACNAGATACACTGTGTCGTGCTGAATCGAACGTTTTTGATACTAAATTAACTTCTAAAGTATAATTTTTTTTGTTTTTATATTTTTCAATATATTTATTTTGTTTGTACAAAATAAAGAAATAATTTTTAACAATTATGTAATTATAAGAATAAATAAATTAAAATAATTTAAAATTGGTAGATTAGGAAATTTTATTTCAATGCACAAACACTCTATTACACCAAGAACTAGAAAAATCTCTAACAAATTTAATAAAAATAAATGTTATCTTTTCTTTTCAACAGACAACTTCGGGTTACATATATCTTCAGGTTACATATATATGCAGAATGGAACACTCATTTTAAAAAGTAGAACATACTATAAAACAAAACTTCCAGTAACCACAAGCCCAGTACAGCAACTGCAAAAAAAATGGAATAAGTTATTTACAAAATATAATGATTAAAAATTACGACATATAATAATTTACAAAAATGAAATTTATTATTATGGAGAACTGTGAGATCTCATAGAATGCTCTCCAAGCTGAAGAAAGAGAATCTGCCTGTTCATAATTGATACACATTTCTTAAAGGTATTGTAAATTTCTGTGTTCAAGGTATTTGAGACAGGGTGGGTTGGCAGAATGATGTAAAAGGCATGCACTCCATTAAACTTAACTTGAACATCATCTTCTCTTGCAGAGGTAGCCATCACTTTGTTTGAAAGTCCCTTCTTGCACTATACTCATGTATCTTCATAGACAGGCATTTAGCTGTAGCACTAATGTATTTGCAGAAAAGGTTTACTCTGTGGTCTTGTAAGGAGTTGGTATAGATACCTGGTAAGTAGCCACTCTCAGTTGAGTCTTTGAATTCCTGATGACTGAAAAACCCTAGGGCTTCTCTTATATGCTATCTTGAGTTTAGCAGACCATTTAGTCTCCTCTGAAGATGTTGGCTAGAGTCTTATTGTAGGTAATGTCCACATAGTCCCCATTGTGATGCTGTATCTGATGTCTGGTTGTTGTTGTTGTATAAATGCCCTAATTAGGACCATAAAGTAGCCATGTTGATTGGCTAACACTGCAGTGTAACATAACTCTTCCCTATCTTGTGTAGAACAATATGTGAAAGCTCTTCTAATTAGAGATCTAAAAGTGGGCTTCTTGTAAGCAAAAGGATTGTGAGATTGTTCCAGGATCTGAAAGTTTTACTTTATAGTATGTTTTGAAAATAGTCATTTTTTTCTGTTTTTTAAAATGAGTGTTCCATTCTTCATTCCATATATAACCTGAAGATGTCCATTTTGAAATTGTAAGAAAATGTTTTTATTAGATTTGTTAGAGGTTTTTGCTGATTTTTGGTGTGATAGTGTGTTTGTTTATACATACAACCAGTTAACTAGTAGTAATTTTCATTCCAGTGTCTCATAATTACAATACAGTAATTGCACTAATCTGAAACTAATTGAAACCAGTATTGAATGAAAAGTTCAGATTAATGGGGGTATGATAATAAGGATATTTTCTTTGAGACCATTTTTTACTGTTGTAATGTACTTTACAGTAGCAAATAGAGATTAGAATTGCTGTTAAGTCAAACATTCATTCTTTCTATGACCAGCAATACTAACAACACATGACTTATGTTTATTTTACACATGAACTGCAAGTGTACAGTTGACATTATTTTAGTTAGNTATCTTGTGTAGAACAATATGTGAAAGCTCTTCTAATTAGAGATCTAAAAGTGGGCTTCTTGTAAGCAAAAGGATTGTGAGATTGTTCCAGGATCTGAAAGTTTTACTTTATAGTATGTTTTGAAAATAGTCATTTTTTTTCTGTTTTTTAAAATGAGTGTTCCATTCTTCATTCCATATATAACCTGAAGATGTCCATTTTGAAATTGTAAGAAAATGTTTTTATTAGATTTGTTAGAGGTTTTTGCTGATTTTTGGTGTGATAGTGTGTTTGTTTATACATACAACCAGTTAACTAGTAGTAATTTTCATTCCAGTGTCTCATAATTACAATACAGTAATTGCACTAATCTGAAACTAATTGAAACCAGTATTGAATGAAAAGTTCAGATTAATGGGGGTATGATAATAAGGATATTTTCTTTGAGACCATTTTTTACTGTTGTAATGTACTTTACAGTAGCAAATAGAGATTAGAATTGCTGTTAAGTCAAACATTCATTCTTTCTATGACCAGCAATACTAACAACACATGACTTATGTTTATTTTACACATGAACTGCAAGTGTACAGTTGACATTATTTTAGTTAGGAGAATGGTAATACCTGTTTGAATGACTATGGATTCATATTACTGTATTATCAATATTGTATATTATTTATTTTTTTTTAAACTTGAGATACACATATAATCATTATATGACAATTATTTTAATTTTGTTTAACAAGTAATAGTCAATATGTTTAGAAACAAAAAAAAACATGAATTATTATTTATATTTTATTAACTAAAAATAACCTATCAATTAACTTTTTTGAAACTTTTCAGGAATTGTGTTGTTTGTATATATTGTATATTATAAACCTTTCTTAAAATATAGCAAAATTCTGTAACAGATATCAGCAAATATACTATACAAATTGAATTAAATTTATATTGCTTTTAATTTGTCTTTATTTTATATTGTTCAATTGATGTTATTGCATAAATTATTTCTGTAGTTTTCCTATGCTCAGCTTTTGGCAGCAACAACTTTAACCAAATTAGTATCAAGGAATCCTAGTACTTTGACATTACAACAGAGGATTGATATTAGTAAGTACAGAATATTAAAAAAATGTAATGATTAAAATGAAGTTATTATTTTATTTAATTTTTTAATTAATTAATTTCAACTTTTAAAGGAAATTATGTGCTAAATTATCTTGCAACCAGGCCAAAATTGGTAAATTTTGTCACTCAAGCTTTGGTGCAACTGTTTTCTAGAATAACAAAACTAGGATGGTTTGAAACAGACAAAGATGAATATGTATTTAGGAACGTTGTCAGCCAAGTTAGAGGATTTCTTCAGGTAAAATTTACATTTTATTTGAATGTAAATTTTAGGAGTATAATAATAATAATACAATTACACAATGCAGTAATAAACTGATAAGCATTCAGGGTAAGTTTTATATATGATGATCTGTTTATGGAGTACAAAAGGAACACTAACTAAAACAACATTTTATGCAGTCATTATAACATTATATACATGAAAATGTGATCTTGATTGGAAAATTTGTAAAAATTATATATATTTTACAGCCATTTTACTTACAATTCATTATTTATGTATGTATGCATGCATGAAGCTACATTGGCATATGAACTTATTCATACATTCACTGACATGAAATGATACAGTAGAAAGGAGATGTTGAATACATTATCAGAAAAATCCAAAATATTGAAATAATAAAATACTTTCTGCACTACAAGCTGTCAAAGTTCATCCTTTGATACATAATAGAACATTGTGCAGTTGATTATACTAAATAATGTGAATTTTATAGAAAATTTTTTTGATTTAAATTGAGAATGTTGAATTTTGAACTTGGATTTTTTCATTTTATTCTGATTTTGAGATTGAGATTTCTTATATTATTTATTTGTTTTGACAATTTTTTTTTCACTAATGGGTTTCTTAGATACTTTAGATGATCTTACATTTGTTATACAGTAGAGCATCGTTTATCTGAAAGCTGATCAACTGAAATGTCAGTTAACCGAAAGCATTCCAGTCGGACTGTGTTGTGCTGAATTGAAAATTTTTGATACTAGATTAACTTCCAAAATATAATTTATTTATTTTTTTATTTTTCATTATATTTATTTTGTTTGTACAAAATAAATAAATAATTTTTAATGATACAATAGCCACAATTATAATTTTAAAATTATGTTAGGCTTAACATCAACGAAAATCAACACGATGTGACATGCAATGGAGAAAAATTTCAACATGGGATAGGTTAATTATTTTATTTTTTCGTACATAATTGGTTATTCAAAAAATAAGTTATCTGAACATTCCCAGTCCCCAATTGATTTGGATAAACGACTCTCTACTGTATTTGTAAAATTCATAATGACCGTTATATTTTGTCAAAATACAATTTAGGCGAAAAAATATTTTTTTCTATTAGATATACTAGCCAACACCCATTAAATATTTGGCTTGATCAGAATATGACTAGACAATTCATTTGATGTTAGTATTATTAGAATTTTGAATTGCAATTGCATTCATATTGAATAAAATCTCTAAAATATGTTCATAAATGTTATTTGCATCTCTCTCTCTCTCTCAATTATTTTCAGAATTTGAGAAATACATTTATTTAAGATTTAGGTTTTTATTTTTTTCATTTATTTAAGATTCAGGTTTTTATTTTTTTATTTAAGATTCAGTTTATAATTTTTACATGTTACTTTTTGAAAATCTTACTAAATACAATATTCTTAATAGAAAACTTATTTCCATTTATTTTTGTGAATATTCTAATATTTTAAAAATATTTCACTGTAGCCAGAGCTACGTCACAAAGTATGTTCACACATTATCATACCTGCATAATGATAGCCTGTTCAATCAATTCCTTTTAGTATATAAATATGATTTTCAGCAGATTCTGTATTGTTTATCTAATAAATAAATCTGAAATTTAAAATTAAAACTTGGACAAAATTGGGGATATAATTAATCTGTGATATGAATCCTTTACCACTACCATCTTGTTTACGTGAATTTTGTAAACTGTCCGAAGGCAATATAGGTCAGTCAGGCGATATTATTTTAAAAATTCACCAAAAATCAAATTATCATTATATTCATATGAAAAAAAC